TTCATCATTGATTTTTCATTCATTATCTATATGCACACATTCAACTCAAATTTGACAAATGGATACATCATAAAAATATGCAGGTCAAGTTGGAATTTGGTCATGGTCCCAAGATTTTTGACAGAAATATCCCTCTTGAACTTAGAAAAAAAAAGAAGAAATTTTCAGTTTCCACACTCTAACTTTTGTAGGGATGTATGTATATGGCTGAAATTGCATATGAAGTATTTTACCAGAAAATACAGGTCAAATTTGAATTTGGTCCTGGTCCAATGATTTTTGACAGAGTTATCCCTCTTGAACTTAGAAAAAATAAGAAATTTTCAGTTTCAGCTCTCTAACTTTTGTAGGGATGTATGTAATAAGGTTGGAATTGCATACGCAGGCATTTTAACAGAAAATTGGTATTCTACCAGAAAATACAGGTCAAGTTTGAATTTAGTCGTGGTTCAATGACTTTTGACAAAGATATCCCTCTTGAACTTTGAAAAAAATAAGAAATTTACAGTTTTTGCTCTCTTACTTTTGTAGGGATGTATGTATAAGGTTGAAATTGGATATACAGGTCTTTTACCAGAAAATACTGGTCCTGGTCCGATGATTTTTGATAGTTCCCCCTTTGAACTTGGAAAAGATTTTGAAATTCACAATTTCTAATCATTATCTCAGCTATAAATGTGCAATTTACAATTTGCAGTTTCTATTTATTATCTTAGTTATAAATGCACATTTTGTGCATAACTGTGAGTTCAGATCAATGCACATTTTTTCCCAGACATGGTGAAGAAGACTTTCCATCCAGGAATGGAGGTTCAGTTAGAAAAAAAAAATCTTTTGTGCAAACAAATTTAAAACTAAATATGGCATTTGAAATTTTGGCTGCCTGCGGGGGCATTTGTGGCACTACGACACATCTAGTTATAGATTTTTTTTTCTGGTCTGAATGCATTATGTAAAATTTGATTTTATATTAGTCCCCCCAAACCCCAGAGTACATAATTTGAAACAACTTGGGAATGTTATTATGACTGTGGCCCCGCTACTCTTGAAATAAGTCTGCAAGTACATGTAATCTCTATCCCTTATTGCAGCCCTATCCTACCCCAAGGGCCATAATTTTAACTAACGTGATTTTGAAATTTCTATAATATTATTCCCGCTGTTCTACTTTTCCGTGATTTGACACCGCATTTCGGAATCCGTGGAAAGTCATATTTTATCAGTGTGCAAAACTAACTAGGAGAATGAAATAGCCCATTTGGCTATCTCATTTTAAATTGGGATAGACTGTAGACAAAGGGGACTGTCCACAAAGAGTGAACTTGATATATATGTACTTGTTTTTATGTTTAAATGTATTTTTTTTTTAATTTATCAATATTAAAGTAACTGTTATATTTTCATAATTACCCCAGTACCTTTACTACCTTGTGAAAATAAAATATAAAATCAGCGTTTGTGCTTTTCACAAAAATCTATACACTGTATTCAGGTTCATCCTATATTAACTTCACTCGATCTGCAGACCAGTTAATGGTTGTGACAGATGCAAACTCCAGTATCATCTTCGTAGCTTTCTCTTTTTTCAGATTCTCTTTTTTTTCTCATGTTTTTGTTTTATTTAGTTTAAGTGTTTTATGTTCTGCTTCAGTGAAACGTTCAGGATTTGCAGCATGACAGACGCACACAAGAAGCGAGCATTGGATAAAAATAGTACACCTTTCATTTATTGAAAGATGCACAATGCATGTTTATATGAATAATGAGATTTAAAAATAATTCTTTTGACATAAAATGTAAAAGTATCAAACTATTTCTCACAATCATTTTGTTTAGAATTACATGTTAAAAATATAAAATAATAACTTTTGTTCAATTTCATTATACCAATGGCAAAAATTGGGATAGAAAACTGGTTTGTTTCAATTTGGTTCGGTGTAGCCCGATTCAACTTGAGATAGATTTGGACCATCGGACATACTGTAATTTTGCACACTGCTTTATTCCCCTATTGTATTTTTTTTGCTTTTCCGCAACTGATTTCAACTGATTATCGCATTATGAGTTCATACATGCTACTGAATAGAAGTCTGAATAGAAGTCTTGTGAGGAAATGTAAACCCTTTGATGCCAAGTGCAACCCATTGCCATTTAAAAGTTGTGGAAAGGAGGTATCAAATAATTAGTCAGTTAGGGACCTAATACGGAGTCATAAAGGGTGTGAAATGGAAATCTGTATTGGGCGAGGCTGAAGACCTTTTTAAAATTAAAAAAAAAAATCAATGAGCATATCAAAATATCAAGTTTTAATCCAATAACAATCAACATAACAAGCAACAAGAAATTTAATTACCTAATGAAAACCACTTCTTAGCTGCCATTTTTTATTAGGGCCCAGGGATGGGGTCAATTACATAGGAAAGTAATTAATTAAATTACAATTACTTGCCCAAAACCTTCAATTAAATTACCATTACCATTACAAGGATTTTGAAATGTAATTAATTAAATTACAATTACTTTGCAAATGTAATTAATTAAATTACACATTACATTAAGAAAAAATGTATAAAAATAAAGAAGCCATTGGACTAGATATTTAAGGACATACGCAACGTAGTTTGAACTTTATTGTCTTTTTCCCTGGAGTTGAAGAGTTCCAATACTTAAAGGAATTGTGTGCTACATTTGTATTTCTATACATGTATATGCTGTTGTACACTTCTTCTAAAACAAGTTTGGATAAACAAAACATCTAGAATATGTGTTTAGTAAATTTTGTATATTTTTCTTTGAATTATACAAGAATTTTCATCAATTGATATCTTTTCAAAATCCCTGGTAATGCATGCTGATTTTTTGTCAACGAACATCTGATGGCACTATAATTTTAAATCAAGAATATCTTGAAAAATTATCAGTAGGTAAGGTACATTGCGTTTGTCCTTAAGTGCCAATTCATAAACATCTTTAATTAGTTAATTTTATTTGTACATTATGAACAGGGAGATAACTATGATTAAAAAGTTTTGAAGAAAATGCATTTTAAAGAGAAAACAGCAATTCACTAAATAAAGGAAATATATAAATTATTTTTTTTTTAATTTATTATAGACTATTTTGTCCAAAAAATCAGTTTGTTTCTTGAATAAAGTGTATGGAATTTGAAGAGGGGGGGGGGGGTATTTCTCATTTATTAAACACTAGTGTAATTGAATGTAATTGAAAAGTAATTGAGAATTACATGCTTTTCTCGAAAGTAATTAATTAAATTACAATTACATGTAATTGAAAATTAGGCCAATTACACATTACTTTAAATTACATCGAAATTTGTAATTAATTACTGTCAATTACCATTACACATTACCATTACCCCATCCCTGTTAGGGCCCCACTCTGCGGGTGCCCTATAGTGATCAATCTTTCCGTCTGTCCATCCTTGAACCATGTTTCTAGGTCTAAGGTTAAGGCCATAGCAGATAACTTCTCTCCTCTTGGTCCAATGTGACTCATACTTCACTCACAGAGTGCCACTGGTCAATGGATGTGCAGTGACCTTGAACGAAGTTTCTAGGTCAAGGGTCAGGGTAAAAAATAGCCTCTCTGTTTAAATTCTTGTCCGAAGCATATTTTCTTTCTCCTTGGCCCAATCTGGCTTATACTTCACCCACAGAGTGCCTTTGGGTTAAGGGTATGCAGTGACCTTCAACCATGTTTCTAGGTCAAGGGTCAAGGTCAAGAATAGCCTCCCTGTTTAAAATCTTTGGTGCATAATTTCTTTCCCTTAAGTCCAGTCAGCCTCAAACTTTACCAATTGACTTAGGGTATGGAACATTTGTGATTTTCCTTCCATATTTTGATGGAGCATTAGAGGATATGCAACAACTTTCATAGAGGATATGCAACATTCATGATTTTTGTGCTGTTTTTTGATAGAGGGTATGGAGCACATGTGATTTTCGTGCCATTTTTTATCATAACAAGGTTGACATAGAAGCCCTTTAGACTCAAACAACACATCCCTTAATGGTACACAAATGTTCCTCTTCAAAATAAACCCTTTTCAGCTACCTTACATTTTCATGTTCGTTGCTGAAAGCAGGGCCCTTTGAGATGGCCACCATCTCAATGATATCTAACTAGTTACAATAACGATACTTCAAACGGAATCGTGTGTCCAATTTTAATATTTACCCCTGGATGGAGACGTAATACTGAAAATTTCAGGGTGTTATGTGATTAGCTTTTATCAAATCAGTAATCTACAAATTTGTCTGAAGCTGGATAATTGAGATAATACATGGCATAACCTATCGCAGAAAAGCAGTGTGATGTAATCGCAGAAAAGCAAACTGAGGACTGAAATAAAATTGTTGAAAAGCAGGAGGGCCATTACCTAGTCCTACAATTAGAACGAACTTGAATTTGAACTACTTGGGTATGTCTAATCATGGCACTGCTTTTTTTTCTTTTTTTTAAAGAAAATTTTAAAAGACTTTGTCCTACATATTCCCCTGAAAAACTGAGAATCCTATTGTGGCCTAACCCTACCCCAAAAGCCATGATTTGAACAAACTTGAAATCCAATTGTTCCTTAAATGTCCCAATTATAAAGGTAAAAGATATTGCAGTCCATAATATATCTTTACCAATCATGGTCATTGAATTTACTTTTGAAGTGTAATGGAGTTAATATGTTTTAACAAAGCTGAGCCTGCGATCACTTATTTTATCTACAAACCTTTTATATCTTGATTGTGTGGTGCTGTTGCAAGTACATTGTATAAATACATGTAAATGAATACTCGATTACGAAAATCTGGTGTTGGGTCTCTTTACTGCTTTGAGTGTGATTACTACTGAGGAGTTGTGATGCCTCAAATTTTCTGAGGAAATATAAAACTTTCATTTACAAGTACTTTATTCTATTTAAAATCATAATTTTGATCATGAGGGCAAAAATTCATGCATTAAAAACCATCATTCTTAAATTTTAGACATGCAGCAGGGAGGTGATCATCCCAATCACGATGTAGCTGAGGACCTTATAATGATGGACCATCGCCATGGTGATGACACCGATAGTCTCTGCAACATTGACACCATTTCTTTGGACACCTCTGATGATGACAATACCAAGCCAGACAATTCCCTGTTTTCCCAATGGAAGGATCCCTCACCCTCACAGCACAAACCCCTGTGGATGAACTTTGACAATGGTGATGTGTTCTATTCTAGCAATGGGGAGTTTCCTTCCATGAGTGACCTGACAGAAGAGGAGGGGTCTCATTCTGACTTTCCAACTTCATCATGTTCTCTGCCATACCCAAAGAACTACAGGTGTAGCCCGACCTTTGGTGAAGATCATAGCTCAGCTAGTTCCTCCTGTATGCCTTCTAGAAGCTCGCCACTTTATGAGGAGATGACCTCGAGAAGCTCTCCCCTACTTGAGGAGGTAACGTCAGAGTCCGGACAGCTCCACAACCTCATGCTGGCTCTTCAAGACCTTCAGTACCAAGGAGTTGTGGGAACAGGATTAGTCAACCCTAAAAGACCAGTTTTTGCTCTGGATGAGAAAGCTTGTGCTTTGTGCAAGAAGAATGGAGAAACTCGGGAATTTTACACTACCCATGTGCTGAAGGACAATCGTGGAAAGATCATCTGTCCGATACTCCGCAAGTATGTGTGTCCTACATGTGGTGCCACTGGTGACAACGCCCATACACTCCGACACTGCCCAGTCAACAAGGCAACAGAGAATACTAGGTGTGGCCAGTGAACAACTTTCCAGGTGTGGAATGTGGAGCTTAAAACTTGGGAAAGAACTGCAGATTTTTTGGGACTTAACTGTGTGTGTTTTAATCTTTTTTTTTAAAAAAAGTTACATTTGGATACACTGGGTAATTTGTGTATATCTCAAAGTGGACATTTGTAAATATAATGGAAATGTGGAATGTAAGATACATATTTCTGCAATTGTATTGTTATCTTCAACAACCAAATCCTATTTGGATCATGGTTGTTGTTTAATTTTTATGAAAAAAAAATGTCATGCAGCCCAAAATTTAAATCATGAACTAATTGTTATTATTTCTTTATGAAATAAATTTCTGACCATTTGAATTTTCTGAAAGATAAATTTTAATTTTACTATCACTCAGAGACAGTCACTCCATTAAAGAAATGAGTTGAAAGTAAAACCCATGCACTCTTGTATAATTCATTTCAAGAAAAAAAAGAAATTGATGTAAAAGAATGATATGGAAGATTTGTCATAGACAATTCTACTACATACTTTTAAAAAAATAAAAAAAGAATTTTTGATTTTATGCTGCATTCAACTTCTCAATCGAGTCTAAATACTTCTGAATTATATATTTTGAAATTGTGACCTGCCTTTATATAAACTTTCTAAAATATTCTTTAAACATTGCTTGTGCTTCTTAAACACTTTTACATGAGTTTATATATTTACAATATTCAGTTGTAAACTTTTTCACTGATGAAAAAATATATCTCCTTTTATTATAGACAGAAACATTAAAATATATATTGATGTACACATGAAGACTATGCATATATCTTAAGAAGACTTTGCTAAAATTTTTAATATTGCTAATTGTTTAGTTATTTCTTTTTTCTGTTTTATCTTGCAGAAAACTGCGACTTGGAATCATGTGGACGATTTCAAATTCTGTTCTTGTGATTAACAATTATTATTTTTCAGACTGAAGTTTTGATATTTTAATGATGGAATTGTTTTGGTTGTGTATTTTTATGCATTTTTAAACTATGGTACAATCATTGTTGAAACATTGTGTATACACAGATAATTCATGATACGGTACCTATAATCATGACAAATGTGTACCATTTATGCTTGAAATCATGGACAGAAATAAAAATTTGCATATGAATTGCATGCTTCTTGGAATGACCAAGGTATTGGTCACAATATTTAATGTACAAAGAGAGATTCTATTGCATGTCATGCATATTAAACTTGTTTATAATAAAAATTATTTATTGAAATTGGGTTTTCTTTTAAATTTTCATTTTTCGGAATGTTTTTCCAGAAGAGAACAAAGATGTGCAGATTCTGCTTTTAGACAATAGTTCCAGTTCACAAATAGTATGTTGTTATTAGTGATGGGACATCGGTTAATTTTCATAATCGATCATCGGTTGGAATCGGTTCCTGCTTCTGATACGATTTTACCGATTATAATCGGATGTCATAGTTTTGTATACAAAAAGCAGACTATTTACAATTATTTCATATTATTTCTGTAACATGAATATATAAAATATTATTTTCTTTATTGTTTTTCCTCTTTTATACTCTCTAGACCTAAAAAAATTTTTTTTTTTTTTTTTTTTTTTTTTTTTTTTTTGCATATCAATAATTGGATCAAACATCCCGGGACTGAATTGTCCAGGTGTTATATTTAAAATGGACACCCAACATGGCTGCCTAGTGGCAGAAAACAAACCTCAAAAAGTTGTGGGGGGAATTGATTACTCTTTATATTTAAGGTAAATGTTGACTAAGTTGCATATTTTATATCTCAAATAAAAGATACAATTAATATTTTTTTAATAAAAAGAATCAGCTGATTGATCAAACCAAAGAGCAAACACAGATTTTGGCAGAAAAAAAAATCCACCCGAGGGTTAATTGAATGTGTCGGTCGGGTTACAGGAAACAAACATATTTTTTAGGCCTTATGTGTGCATCTTTCGATTCTCAATGACCTCTGCTTCATGCTAGTTGGCTAGTATCAGATGCAAACGCCATTTTCTTTCATAAAGAAGAAATAAATTTTAAACCAGAAATGGATAATTCTGGAATGTATTGTATTAGAAGTATGTTTCCGATGATCGATTATGAAAAATTATAATCGATCATTGGAATCGGTAGCATTTTTTCGTCGACAATCGATGCTTTGCTTTGGGTCTGTACAATTCAAGGTTGAAAATATATATAACTTTAGCTGTCTTGCAGCCCAAAAGTTGGGTACACATTATTCCATATGGCATTAGATGTAATTCAGAACACTGAGCTCGGATTTGGTATCGGAATGGATAACAAATCGAGATTTTGTCAGTTGACCCTAACAGGGGGAAAAACTCTATAAGACTGATTTCCTACAATTTTTTTAAATCAAGCAAAGATGTTTCGGAAAGTCTGAGTATGTGCAGAATTTTAATGGATCGCAAGTGTACTGAAGAATAACTGAAGTCCTCGAGGAGCTAAATTTAGTGATACATCACATCACATGTACAAATTAAAATGACCTCCAACAATATTGTCCAACAGTTCAAATCTTCACAATTCAAAAATATTGGTTACGTAAGATTAAGACTTTTAAAAGCTCCTGACTGCTTAAAAATATTTCGTAGTTACCTACCATTACAGCACGTAATGCTTGCACGTAAATTCCTAAAAACTGAAAAGCTGACTTTGTGCATGGGGGCTGCCATCTTGATTTCTTTGACAAGTCGTTCACAGAAAAGGTTTCCTACAAATTACAAATCAAAATGATTCAAACGATCTTTTTTAATCGTTTACATCTAGATTTATAGTCGTCAAACTGTAAAGTCTGAGAATTAAACTACTATATTTGAAAATTCCAAAATTATATATGTAGTCGAATGCTTTTCTTTTTAAGCTCTACTTTCACTTTACCTTGACCTACTTTTGGTAGACTTGCCGCTTGGAGCTGACAAAACTGACTAAAATGAGTGCAAAGGTAATATTATAATGTAATTACTAATTAAATGAAGCTGTCAGTGGCCTTGGGACTTGGAATAGCATCCAACTAAGTTTCGAGCAGGGTATGGCATTCAGGTAGATTGAACATTTAATTAAATTGATTTTGTCCTACATACCGGGGTTTTTGGTACGGATCCACCACTTCCACCATGCAGGTCTTGTGATCTCTTAACATTATTTGTTAAGCATAAGTCAAAAAGAGGACTATGTGCAGAAGTGTAATATACACAAACAGCTGTCTTGATAGTAAAATTATTTCACAGGTTTTTTTGAAAAAATAAAATAAGAACATTATTGTAGTTTGTGTACATTGTGAATAAAAATTCCGATAAGTTAATTTGTTATCTTCAGGACAAATTATTTTAAATATTGCAAGTGTTTGTCCATTTGTCTGACCTCTTCTGGGGAAAAAAATTTAAAAGAATTGCAGGGTTTGCCATATGTGACAAATATGCAAATATTCCATAGTTATATGGATTTTAGCTTATTCGAAATGTGGCTATCAGGCAGGTTCATCTACTGATAGTTTAAGAGCTCATTTGGTAGCACACCTGTCTAGAGCTCTGAGGGCTAATGGTTGGCCAGCATTGCCATTAGTGGTACGTGTCATGATACAATCTCATGTATCATAGATTTTCATGATATTACCCCATACCAAACCATTTTCACAATTTGCTCATGAGCAGCTCACGTGAGGACTAACCAGATTTCCTCACCTGAGTTGCTCACGTGAGTCTCATGTGCAATTTAACATGCAAATTAGGTGAAATGCTCACGTGAGCAGGGTTCTGCACATTAGCATTTTTTGCTCATGTGAGGAATCATTTTGCTCACCTAGAATATTGCTCACATGAGTCTCATGAGGCTCATGAGACTCATGTGCAACAATTGCTCACTTGGAACAAGCAACAATAGAACAAAATTCAGATTACAAACATTATATAATTATGTAATTCTAAAATGTGATTCATCAATTACATTTTAAATACTCTTTAGCAACATGTACATGTAAATAGATGCATGCACAATTATGTTCAGTGAACTTCATCTTTTAAACTTAAAATGAAATAAAAATTTAAATTAAATTATTTTAATTATGTACAGTACACATCAATCAAGGTATTATTATCCAATAGTTCCATTTCCAGTAGATTAACATAGAACATCCAATGTAAATGTCTAGTCAACATTTTTGACTGCACTAGTACTAGATGGTTTTAAGTTGTCTTGGAGGCTAAGTAGATGTTTCTTCCTTTGCTGAATTTATGAGTGGCAGTCATACATGGGTTTAAAATAATAATCCAGTGGTACGTCATAAGAATCATAATCAATTCATCCTGTTCCATTCTTTTACCTTGCATTTCCTTTAAATGAGTGCCAACATCAGAACTCTGTCATGTATGCAAGCTCAGCTAGGGTACATGATTAATCTGCAGATCCTTTGATTCCAAATTTCATCTGCAAAAAATTTGAAGTTATAATAAGTTAGTATATTTTCAATGTTCCGTTGGTCATGAAAAGCCAGTCAATAGAAAAATCATATGCATCAATATTTAATTAGCAACTTAAATACTTGTAATTCATAGAATACCACACTGAGACTGTCAATTGTACACTCTGACCTAATCTGTTCTTACCATATTTATAGTTCTTAATTAAACTGTAATTCCTGATAACATTCTGCATTAAATATATCAAACTTAAATACACTGATAATTAACATATAAACATATTTTTTTTTTAATTAGTAATATCTGAAATGAGAGGGGGGATAATAAATTTCAAAGCACTTACCCTATTCTCAGATCAGCATATCTTTGAAATTTTCCTTCATTGTGGCTGCACCCTGGTAATATCTAATTGATCTTTAATCATTTCCTCATCCCATGGACATACTGGATACATTTGTAACTTTTAAAGGTTAGCATCTAGTTCAATATGGTGATGACATGTATTTCCAAAAGCATATTTCAGTTCTTCACTGTATTAATCCATATACTTTCAATGTCCCTCACAAACATTTTGTGTTGAAATTTTGAACTGGTCTTAGAAGGCGCACAAATCCTAACTGGCTCTCCTCATTGGATACTGCCCCACCTTAAGTAACAGTGGGGGACACAACAGGTTGTTTAAGTAGAGGAAAGCATTTTCAAATTGATGGGAGATGAAGATTAGAAGCTCAAAAAATTAAGAATTTATTCCTGCCTGATCCCCAATCATTTGTGATGCTATCATCAGGAAGTGTTAACACTTAACACATGGTCAATTTGTAATAAAGGCTTGGGAAAGCTTGGACCACATAGAGTGTCAAAGTATTGTATTTCCTCACGTGAGCCTCACGTGACGAATTGAGACTTGTAAATCTTTGGTTTTGGTTCTACTTGTAATACTGAATTTTGACTATGTCCAATTTCCTCACCTCTTGCTCACCTCTTGCTCACGTGAGAAAACTGAACTTAGAAAAATCACTACCAATGCTATATCTTAAATTAGGCTGTTCTTAGGTGAGCAAATTGAATAGACTTTTGCTCATGAGCATCCAAGTGAGCATTATTTTGCACATGTGCATTTTGGTTAGTATTTTCCTCCCTAACAGAGACTAACAATCTGCACATGAGCAAAATCCAATTCTACCTAATTTGCATACAATTCTTACTTGATTCTCATGTGAGTCTCATGAGCTGCTCATGAGCATTTGTTAGAATGTTTGGTACGGGAGTCAGGTTTCAGCCTTATCATTATGCATCCCTAATTCTCATGATCATACTTCATTTCTTCAAGAAAGTGTGTCAGGGCAAAGTCACCCATGGGCCACTTGTGAATTATTTGAAATCGGCATTTCTGACATTAAGTCTTCTCTACAATATATTGTATACAGGGATATTTTTGCCCCCATTTTATTTTCACCCTATTCGCCCTAATCACGGGTGAATTTAAATCAGACTAGTTCAAGGAACATAGTATAAATTCTGAAACAGAATTGTGACTGGGCGAATTTAAAATGGGGAAAAATTGCTCGCAAGTGTGAAAGGGGAAAAATAATATGGGACGAAAATAACCTTGTATACAGTATATACATGGCTAGTATATAATTGAACTTCAATATTAATAACAGTGATTAACTATGTCCAAAAAAAAAAAGAATTATCATCTACATCACCAACATGACTAGTGCTTTTTAGTTTTGTACATTATGTAGCTATGGTAATTGTAGGATGTTCCAAAATGTGTGTTGTGTATTTCCCTCACCTGGAACTGATGTGGGAAATTATTAATTTTAATCTTCCAGGTATAGTATTTTTTTGGGAAATGTTCTTATTTAGAATATCAACATATGCAGAATGCCACAAAGAAGTGGCATTTGCAGCATTGAACATGTTAACAATTTCATCATCAACAGTAAAAAATATGTCAATAAACAGGTTTCCTGCAAATGATAACAATGAAAGTGTGGATAAAATGCTGTGGCATGGTTTGATTCACCTTAAGAATTTCAATTAGACAAAGTTGTGTTCTGAACACTTTATAGGCAAATGAGGATCATCCAAGGAACATCAAATACCAAGTGTACTCCAAATATGGATATTTAAATTATTGGTGAGTATACAATATTGCCCAAACATTGAAAAACATATATATAAATAATAATAATAATTGTTGACTGAGTGCAAAGAAATTCAAACTATGATACAGGCTTTAGGTATGCAATTCATTTTGACACATATCTTGCATATAAGCATGCAGTATAACACGCTTATAAATAGCAAACTTGCTCATAATGAATTGACAATTAGAGCTAAGGGAATATCTTTTCTCTTTAAAATATAATGTAAACTTAATGAATAAAATGAGTTACCCTTATAACAAAGCAAAATCATCCATCACTGGCAGGCCTCTAAGTGGCCTCTAAAATTTAGGCACCAGCTGGTGCCTTATCAAAAAATTTTAGTCACCAATACAAATTTTTAGTCACCAGGCAATTTTTCTAAGGTGCCACTTTAAAAGTGAATAGAATATAGGAACCCCTGACGTGCCTAACAAAACTCGACTTGTCCATTGCTAAAAATAATTTCCTCTTCTTTTAAATTTCTTTTCATTTTTTCAGAAAAATTGTTAAAAATGTGAAAATTTCCGGAATTAAACGATCGCCAAGTCAGTTTAAAATGGTTGTCAATTTGGCGACTTATGGAAAAACTTTAGGCGCCATGGCGACTAAATTAGTCACCAATTAGAGCCCTGACTGGCTCTTCATTATAAGCATGTTGCTGTATTAATATATCTATCTATAGTTACATAGTTAAATCTTAATCTGCAGCTCTGTTCAATTTATTTGAACCCACCTTCTTTTTTACCAAATAAATAAAAAAATAAAATACAGCATCAGGTAGACTGAGACCAAGAATTAGTTAAGACAGCTGTCACCAGGTAGATTGAGACCAGGAATTAGTACAGACAGCTGTCACCAGGTAGAATGAGACCAGGAATAAGTACAGACAGCTGTCACCAGCACCAGGTAGACGGAGACTAGGAATTAGAACAGACAGTTGTCACCAGGTAGATTGAGACCAGGAATTAGTACAGACAGCTGTCACCAGCACCAGGTAGACTGAGACCAGGAATTAGTTCAGACAGATGTCACCAGCACCAGGTAGACTGAGACCAGGAATTAGTTCAGACAGCTGTCACCAGCATCAGGTAGATTGAGACCAGGAATTAGTACAGACAGCTGTCACCAGCACCAGGTAGACTGAGACCAGGAATTAGTTCAGACAGCTGTCACCAGCATCATGTAGATTGAGACCAGGAATAAGTACAGACAGCTGTCACTAGCATCAGGTAGATTGAGACCAGGAATTAGTTCAGACAGCTGTCACCAGGTAGACTGAGACCAGGCATTAGTACAGACAGCTGTCACCAGCATCAGGTAGATTGAGACCAGGAATTAGTTCAGACAGCTGTCACCAGGTAGATTGAGACCAGGCATTAGTACAGACAACTGTCACCAGCATCAGGTAGATTGAGACCAGGAATTAGTTCAGACAGCTGTCACCAGGTAGACTGAGACCAGGCATTAGTACAGACAGCTGTCACCAGCATCAGGTAGATTGAGACCAGGAATTAGTTCAGACAGCTGTCACTAGCATCAGGTAGACTGAGACCAGGAATTAGTACAGACAGTTGTCACCAGATAGATTTGGACCAGGAATATGTTCTATTTCCATAAGTGAACTCTTCAAAATTAGAGGCGCGTTTGGTCGTCTGACTGGAACAGCATGGCATTGCAGATAATACAAAACATGCCAATCTCAATCCAATTTTAAATGTTAAATGTATTTGTCATTTCAATTAAAGAACAGAAGAACTAAAAGACATATGTAAGAGAGCGAGAACCCTAAATTTATCATCCATTAATAAAAAATACGACATTTCTGAGGCATGTGTATTGCATTTAGAGGTACCATACGATAAATAGATACAAAGATCAACAATAGATATAAATTGATATCGTTGTCATTCATACTCTTGTTGTATATAAAGTTCACAACAATAAAATATTACATTAGTTCAGATAGCTGTCACCAGGTAGAATGAGACCAGGAATTAGAACAGACAGTTGTCACCAGGTAGATTGAGACCAGGAATTAGAACAGACAGCTGTCACCAGCACAAGTTTGCATACATGATTATTTTAGGAGTGATGGAAAACACCACCGATATCAGTAATTTTGTCTATATTGTAAGTGTTAACACAAATGAAACCATATTGCTCTGTGAACCAGATAATTAGTACAGTCAAACCTCGTTATTTCAAACACTGTGGGTTCACGAAAAAACTTTGAGATATCCGAAGGTTTGAGATATTGAGAGTAAAATACTTACAGAAATTGTGCTTATGGGGACATTCAAATCACTTCAACATAGCCATGGTATTGAAGATATCTGTGTTTGAGATACCAAAGTTCAGTTGAACTTTGGAGAGGGACTTAAATTTACTATACATATAACTGTGTTTTAATTTATTGTTATTGTGGTCAAGATGTCAAAGATTGACAATTGTTGCACAATCATGTTGATTTGGAGATCTTAAATCTGTCACTAGAATCTTGTATAAGAAATCAAAGACTGAGCCTCATAAGCACAAAAATTAACTCAATCAATCTTGGGCATCAAAGTCTTTCACTCAGCCTAGGTGAAGGAGGTGTATACATGTGATGTTTACTTCTTCAATGAATCTGAGTCAGATGTGTTCCTCATTTGCCAGTTAGCCATTGGTCTCTACACTGATACCACACTTTTCGTAGTCTCTATTTAATTTTTCAATTGATTCATTTATGTGTGGGGAAAGTTAAACATTTTTTTTAACTGACAGTGTCCATAATTTATCTATTAGGGAAAAAAAAGGCTGAGTTGATCAGACAAAAATGTTCACTAAATTCTATTTTACAGTACACTAAGTACAGATCAAATGCAGGTAAATTCAGAAAAATTCTAGGCAGAATTAATGCAGACTTTTAATGTTCACACCTCTTAATCCATCAAATGTGTGCAAAATTGGAACGCACCAAATGTTAAACCCCTCAGTTTTAATGCATAGACATGATAGATAAGGTATACACTTATAGATGTATGTCAACATATAGTGGACTGAAATATTGATCCATACTGGAAAGTAACTATGGTGGTATGTGCATTCTTTGCTTAAAAGTCAAATTGAACTTACTGTAATATATTTAAATTAAAATGTTTACGTTTTAAAGGAATGACTGAATTGAATAAAAACATGAAAAAATATGCATGTCAAAACTTTCATACGAACTTCATTAATCCGAATTTTAATTCTCTCTCATTATTAAAGATCATTTCCTGGTTAATGTATGTTATATTTATCATGGCTTAGAATTTACCAATTTTGTGAGCAGTGAGTTTGTGAGAAAGTGTTTCTGAAGACTTATATGCCCTGTACACATGAATGAGCATTAAATTTTTGATTTGCAGTAAATTAATTAATGTGAAGTAAAATAATGCAAATTAACTAATGCCAATCAAATAGCGTTCACACAACAGCTAATGTAAAATAATCTGCATTTATTTAAAATTCAGGATAGTGTTATCAATCTTCATATGCTAATACATACTGATGAGAGCTATCCAACTGCATCAATATTTTTTGACCTTGACTTTTCCTTTGACCTTGACCTCACTTTTCTTAAATTAGTGTTTAGCTCAGTTCTTAAGAAACCATTCAGGACAGTGTTATCAAACTTCATATGCTGATACATACAGATGAGAGCTATTCAACTGCATCAACATTTTTTTACCTTGACCTTCCATTTGACCTTGACCTTACTTTTCTCAAATTGTGTTTAGCTTAGTTTTAAAGAAACCATTCATAATATTTTTATCAAACTTCATATGCTAATTCATACTGATGTAAGCTTTTCATCTGCATCAACATTTTGACCTTGACCTTTCCTTTACCTTTAACTTCATTTACTTTAAATTAGTGTTTAGCTCTGTTTTAAATAAACCATTCAAAATATTTTTTATCAAACTTAATATGCTGATACATATTTGTGAGAACTATTCAACTGCATCAAAAATATTTGACCTTGAACTTTCCTGTGACCTTGACCTCACTTCCTTAAATTTGCATGTTGCTTAGTTTTAAAGAAATCATTTAAGGTATATTTATGTAAGCTTATGCACTTATACATAATTTGGTGAGAATTTATCACATATATCCAACTTTTTAGATTTCAATTTTAAAGAAACTATTCAAGATATTCTCATCAAATTTCATACACTAATACAAATGTTCATGTTGCATTACTAATATACCCTCGGCAGGGCATTCATGTCCTATGGGAATATTTCTAGTTTTTTTCTGTTTTTCACTCAAAATAGCATACACAATGTATATGTATGGTCAGATATAGAAATTTTTGAAATAGTGAACTGATTTTGTGTCCTGTAGAGATTAAAAATAATGAAATTTACATATTTTATACCAAATTTTAAGGATAACAAACTTTGAAAATATTGAACTGACATTATTTTTTTTTAATTACTGTGAAATCACTAATTTTTGTGGGGATCTAATTTTCTTTTTTCTTTTTCATGGTATGAAGAGTTCCATGAATTCATAACTCCACAAAATATAAAATTTCAAATATATATCAACTTGATACTTCTTCAACATTAAATCAAATCCCCATAAACCAATAATTTTTCTCCAAACCTCGAAAATTTGATCCCATGAAAATATATGTTTTACAATATTTGAATTTGATATTCAATTCATTGGAAATTTTCATACTCCAAGGTATGTTTTGTATTATAAATATTTCCCTGAATATATTCAGTAGTAATAATTAATATGATGTCTCACACACTACTAAGTCTAGGAGAAACTTGGATATTGTAACTTGGAAATGTGCATTTCTAACCTATCTGAAAAAGAAATTTGTTGCTGAAAATTTTTGTCATTGTGCAGTCTTGCATAATTCAAGTCGCAGAGTAAGGAGTTGATCCTTACGTCGCGGGTTCGAATCCCACTGTGGGACATGGAGACTGGTCCTTCGGATGTCGAGACCACATATACCGAGGTCCCGTGTCGCAGTAGGTGCTGGCACGAAAAAGATCCCTCACTGCTCAATGGCCGTAAGTGCTGAGTATAGGACAAAATTTGCAGGTCTCCACTGGCAAGTGGTGGCGTCTCTATATGAGTGAAAAATTCTCAAGAGGGACGTTAAACAACATACAAACAAACAAATCTTGCATAGTTCTAAAAAAAACTTCTAAATGAGAAGAAAAAACTTTTGCTACAGTCTTTATTTCCATGTTTATCAATAAACTTAGTTACTCTCCTTCATATGTAGACTTGATGTATCCCAATAAACTCAAAATAGAAGATGCAACAGACTCTGTCACAATCTGTTTTTTCATATATATTTGGATGTTTTGCCAACTATAATCTAAAAAAAAAAATTCAAGATTATTGCTGCATAAAATCGTTAAATGAAAATACATTTCTTTTTTAATGGAGATAATGAATCGATAAATGTGCATATGACAATTAATATTTCCCCATGGAATTGAAATGAATATCAACGCCCCTGAACAGATTTTGTCATTGGAGGGTGATATACTGTGGTTGGTGTTCGACATTTACAGAGTTGACAATTTTAATCCTCATGGCTGGTAAACATCATAACAAACATGGAAGCCAGTTAAAGGTATAATGAAACATTTATTTACTGGGTTGTTGGGCAGGATGCATTTTGCCAAATCCTTGAACCAAAATGGCTGCCTTCAGCCTAACAACCTCTGAGGCAAACAGTTTGATTCTTGGGTCCCACAAAATTCCATTTTGCTCTCAAACCCAATCAATATATGTACATACATAATATTTGAATTCTTTCAATATGAATACTGTCAATGTTTAATGTCAAAAACTTTAAGATGTTAAAAAATTGACTATTAATTGTCAGATAACTGATAATTACATATGTACAGGTATGCTAGGAATAATCCTAAGGTGTAGGTTGTGTATTTATTTATACATGCATGGTCATAAAAGAGACTGTTAAAGTTGAAAATGACTCATATGATAAATACCCAAACTCCATTTTAGTTTTCCTATCTCCAAGATTAGCACTGAGGTATACCTTTCACATTTGTTACACTTGATTGCTTTTTGGCTACCTGCATGGAATGGATGACATGTGTCGTACATTGCCTTTGCAGTCATTTTATTGTCCATCATTTTAGGGAACATTTCATTTGTCTGTCAGTCTGTCTGTCACAAAAACTTTAAACTTGGTTATAACTTTTGAATGTAGAAAGAGTGCATTTACATTTCATATGTACATTACCTGTGACAAGCCCTTTCCAAAACCTTTCCAAATATACTATGTTACTTGATCCTTGATCTTGAAGTTTGTCCCACTTTTCAGAAATTTTGTCAATCAGAGAAGATAGGAGTTCATATTTGAAGTGTAAATAATCTGTGTCAATCCTTTCCTAATGCACTATGATTTTTGACCCTGTGACTGACATTTAAGTTTGAACTACTTTTCAAAATTTTTAACATTGATGAAAACTTTCTAAGAATTGCACCTGCAGATCCAAGACTTGGGTTATCTTTAAACTATTTACACATTAACTTCACATGATACTGATTCTTTTTCCCTTTGATAGCTCACTTCCGCAATTGAAGTTTACAAAAGATTGGTTTCCCACCCAGAGCCAATGGTAGCCTGGTTCTCTTATAATGGAATCCAGAACCAGATTGTGGTTAATTCGGTTTGGAACCAAAGTGACCTTGACAGATTGGAGAAAGTCAAGTTCACAAAGAGTTACCATGTCAGTGAGGATAGCCCTGCCAAGTTTGAAGTAAATCACAGGAAGATTTCTACAACAGATAGTAATATGTAGGTATACTGATCTAAATTTTTGTTAAATAGATAAAAAAAATAATTATTAACAGAGGGGAGAAATCATTTCTGATGCATTTAACAATTATTTTGATTTTTTCCTTGGTATCTTCTAGCTGTTACACAGTCAGGATTACAAGGTCAAATTAGGGCTTTGCAAGTAATTTTTCTGTCTTTCTTATAATCCACTAATTTCTATTCTACTTCACAACTCTTCTCATGATTTTCCTATTATCTTCAAATTCAGAACCAGGTATGTTATTTAAGCAGGCAGTAAAATTTATTTTGATACCATTATATTGATCATGTATGACATCCAGATTGGGACTGGGGTTGAGGAGTTTTCCCCAAACTTTATAAGAATGGATGGACACAGGGATATAACTACTGAATTTTTTCATATTAATACAAGATCTCTAGAAAAGGATGGAACTCCGATGAGCTCTCTTTGGGTACTGTTTTATTTAACCAAGACTTGCGACCAAGGGAACTGGGATATATCCAATCAATCTATAGAACTTTTGTTTGTCCATCAGTTGTTGCTGGAGCTATGGAATTCACCTGAGCACATGTTGAGGATAAAAACTTCAGATTTGTATGAATACTTCATTAGTGATGGAGAGTCAACATTTTTAGACCAATATATTTTATTCAAAGAAAGAGGTAGTGCGAAGAAAAATTAACAAACTCTTTAGGGAAGTGGCTTACAAATGCTGTACAACTTCTTTGTGTCTTAAAAGATTTAATTAGAACAGAGATTGTTCAGTTGAATTTAATTTCTTATATTTAATCTAAACATATATGTTAGAATGAAGAAGTTCTGATGAATTTTTCAGTATGTATGATGAAGAAGCACCCTCAGGAAAATTTAATGCCATAGTCCGCAAATTCACACCAAAAAAAGGAGGAGACGAAAAACAATTCATTGAGGTAGGAAGGAGCAATTCTGGAAATAAAATACATGTACTGGTCAACTTGTACTTTAAGCTGATAGATTGCTAACACACTGATTTATATTTATGAGATGATATTTAACTCATGCAGATCAACTTCACAGGACAACTAAGTTTAATCATTTTGTTATAACTAATACAGATTTGGAATCACTGCAAGAAGATAAAACAATTTGATGTTCTTGGCAAAGAGAAACATGGAAAGATTTGCACTAAGGATGGTAATGCAATATGCCAAATTTCATCAAGTTTGGCAGAAAAACTAGTAAAAGATTTTCAATTCTTTGACCAAACAAACTGAGACAATTTTTTTCCCCCTCATTTACTTAAATAAAATTTATTTTTTCTACAGGACAGTTTGGATGTATACACTGGTCTAAAGATGAAACAAAGCTGTTGTATATATCAGAGAAAAAGGCTCCAAAGATGGTGTCGTACTTTGATACCAAGAAGGGAGAAGTAGACAAGCCAGACGAGGAACCTTCTGTCAGGGTAAATACAGAGTTTTCTCCCCTGAATTTATCTTCTTTTTCTATATATTGACAAAAATGCTAAAACAATTAACAGAATGTATTCAGAATGCTCAATTGCAAATTCCTTGCAAATCATAAATCATGGCAGCTTTTTATATTTTTGTATAGCTTTCATTGTATTTTGGAAACTCATAATGTACTGTAGGTATAATTATATACCCAGATTATTTGGCTGGAACACAATTATTTTGACTCAAACGTAAAATGTCAAGGTCATATGTGGTTCATGACCAAACATCCTGATGTACATCCCTGCCTGCCTTACATCTCTTTGTATCTTAGAATTTAACATTCAGTACACAGAAATTTTTAAACTTTTTAAAAATGTCTTTTATTTCTTTTTCAGGGTCATGAACATGACTTTAAACAAGATTGGGGAGAACAGTTGGTAGGAAAACACAAGCTGGCATTAAATGTCCTGGACTTAGACAGTGGCGATATAAATACACTGGACACCCTGCCTGATGATATCACTGTTGGACAGGTAACAATAATTTACATTATAACTCTCTACCATCAGCTCATATATATTCACCTCTTTTATTGGCATTGGCACATGTATATCACAATAGGTGATGAGCACAAGAAATTGTACATTTGTTTTAATTCATTATAATTAAATGCTTGTGCTAATGTTTGTTCTTTAAGGTAGAAATTAACTAAGTAGATCTAGAAGTATTTGTTTAATTTGAAATAATTCTTGGAATATCCTGCTCTATTGATTACAATTAGTGGAAATTCATTAATTCTCTGAGAATCTTCTTTGCTCAAGGTTGTATCATCTCAGGTGACTGTTAAGGCCCTTGGGCCTCTTGTTTGAAATGTTGGGTTTATCAACAATAAATATACAAAACTGCTTTTAAACATTTGTATGGTTCTAAAAAAAAACAATTATGATTAATATGATGAACAATTATGGTTATGAAAATGAAACAGGCCATCTGGACTCCAGACAATGGGATCATATTTGTGGGATGGAAGCATGACCCATACAGACTTGGACTGACCTACTGTCCAATTAGACGGCAAGTTATTTATAATTTCTGAACTCTTTAGACTGTGTTTAAGATTTACATATGGGTCTATAGACTATTAATTGTGTCATACCTAACCAGATTTTTGAGTGCCAAGTTGTTTTATATGATGAATTTAAGTCATTTAATTTTTCAGGTCAGCAATTTATCTTTGGGATTCCAAAACATCATCCATAAGTAAGTTTATGATTATTTTCAGTAATTTGTGTGCATAGTAATTTTAAAAAACAAAATCATTTTAAAAAGTGTTGATTTAAGTCCACTATGATACTTAAAAATTATGAGAATGTGTAGAATTTGTGTATTCAAATGTTGTGATGTTTTAATCAGTTGTGATGTTTTTTATCCAAAAAGAGCAGCTTAGTGAAGATGGCAGGGCCAGCTGGTTACCAAGGTTAAGTTTGGATGGGTCAAAGTTGATTTACCTAGACAACGATATAGGAGGACCACACTACCAGTGTTCAAGGTTGATGATGGTACATGGTGTTTCTCTCTCTCTCTCTCTTAAAATTCCAATATTATATGCTTATTTAATTGAGTAGATATATTTGTTTTGCATTTTTTTGAATTGTACTTTTATCATGCCCCCGTATCGAAGATTCAGGGGTATGTAGTTTTTGTCCTGTCTGTCTGTTTGTCTGTTTGTCCGCAAAAACTTTAACCTTGCCCATAACTTTTGATTGGTTGGAGCTATGGCTTTCATATTTCACATGTGTATTCCTTTCTTTAGGTACCACCATATTTGACCTTTTGAACTTTTGAACAATTGATGCTAGGGCTTTCATACTTCCTTTTGACAAGGCCTTCCTTTGGATACCAACAACTTTGACCCTTTGACCTTGGAGTTTGACCCACTTTTGGAAAACTTTAACCTTGGCCATAACTTTTGAACAATTGGTGCTAGGGCTTTCATACTTTACGTATGTAATCCTTGTGACAAGACCTTTTTTTGTATACCTACAACTTTGACCCTTTGACCTTGGAGTTTGACCTACTTTTGGAAAACTTTAAACTTGTTCATAACTTTTGAACGATTGGTGCTTCAGCTTTCATATTTCACCTGGCCTTTCCTTGAACACCATTAATTTTGACCATTAGACCTTGACATTGATGTTTGGCATACTTTTGAAAAACTGTAACCTTTTCTATATCTATTCAATGGTTGATGCTAGGGCTTTCATATTTCACAGGTTTATTCCTCGAGACAAGACCTTACTTTGGGTGCCAACATAATTGATTTGCATTTGAGAAAGTTTAACCTTTGCTATAAGTTGCCATTCGGGGGCATCAGTGTTTCACAAACACATCTTGTTACATGTAAATTACTCAAGGTATACTTAAAAAAGAACACATATGCATATATAGTCTCTCTGTAATTTCAGTGTTTCTAGGTTCATGTATGTAGTGTTAATTTGTACAATGCATCAATGTTTTTCAGTGTGATATGAAGTCAGGAAACCTTACTGTTCTGGTGGACATTATCAAAGATCCTAAAGGTATGACTGAAAAATAAAAATTGTGCACTTTGTGCACTTTATCATTTTCACTTACAGAGGCAATATTGCTTCCACAAGATTGTTTAATGTCGTGGTTTAATGAGCATTGCGACACACCGATTTCGGTCTGTCTGTCAAAAGTTTGATCAAAAAGTGAACTTTATTGAGAAGAGGTAAAAAAGAAAGGTCAAAAATGGAAGGTGAAATTCAAATTTTCACCATACAGCTTTCAGGCGTTTTTTTTTCTCACCAAAATATCTTGTTGTCAAAACTGCTGTTATTTCACATTTTCACGTACTGTAAGTCACAATAATTTTATGAGTCCGATTATATTTTTAAAAAAAAGTTACTGTGAATTTTAACAGGAAGTAATTTGTATTACTTACTCTTATTGTCTTTCAAAAGTATAGTCTTCGTTAACATAATCTCAATCTCACCCTTTTGATTGATAGGGGAGGAATTTCCTGGTGTGTATAGCATGTCATTACCACAGCGATGCTGGGCTCCCGATGGAAAACGTGTAGTCTTTAACAGTATATGGAGACGTCAAATGGTAATTTTATCTGTAACTTTTCAGCAATTGAGTCCTCTCACACTTCAAACTTGGTGAATCTTAATTTTTTTTCTTGGAAATTAAATTGTTTGTCTTGTAAATTCAAGAAAAAAAAGCCTGCAATATTTTAAGAATTCTAAACTTATTTATTATACCTCTACTGTTATTACTCTATATAAAATTAATACCATAAAACTGTCTATTTCCCTGAGAAGATACTATTTCCCTCATCGGAGGACTACTCCCTGAAAAATCGGAGCTACTCCCTGGGACTACTCCCTCATGAATATTTATTAATAATTTTAACCAATTAAAATGATCAGTGGGCGTAGCGTTCAAGGAATCTGTGACGTAATGTTATTAGCAAGGTAACTATGACGTCAAAACATTTCAACATGCAATGTCAAAGTCATTGGAATTCTAGCAAAATGAAGACAACGATAATCCTTCAAAGTGTCAGTGAAATTATTTCTCCCATGATTGTTATTTGAATTCTTTCAAAATGCTACATTTCCCACACTTTTAGCCTGATTTCAATAAAACTTGGGACACTGGTATAGTACACCTAGATACACAATGCGGCAATGGTTGCTAAAAATAGGATATGTGGAATTATTTTGAATGCTACTTTCCTGCATAATTGATCTGATTTCAACAAAACTTGGTAAGCAAGTAGACTATAACAAGGATCATAAATCTATTTATCAGTGTTCCTATACAGGGATTAATCTATAGCATATTTACTACAGATATTCAGTATTTTTCCCCAGTTGTAAGAGAAAATTTCCCCTGAATATCCAATTTTCCCCTTTTGATGAGTAAAAAATTCCCCTTACAATAACAAAAAGCTCAAATAATTTTTTTTCCTTCATAAAAACTCGAAATTAAAAGTAAAAATTTTCATCAGATGTGAAATATTGTTTTACTTTGCTATTTTATCCACTCTATGTTTTGTTTGTTGTTTAATGTCCCTCTCGAGAATTTTTCACTCATATGGAGACGCCACCTCTTGCTGGTGGAGAACTGCAAATTTTGACCTATGCTCGGCACTCGAGCCATTTAGCAGTGAGGGTTCTTTTTCGTGCCAGCACCTACTGCGACACGGGACCTAGGTTTATACAATCTCATCCGAAGGACCGGTCTCCGCGTATGACAGTGGGATTTGAACCCGCAACATAAGGATCCACTCCTTACTCCATTTATCCACTCTAAATCTTCATTAATTAAAAATGCTGATTTTCCCAATTTCTCCAGGAAAGGTAGTTTCGCCAAAAATCTAGATTAATCCTTGCTATAGTTACACATTTGCAAGTCCAGGTGCCACTTTTTCTCTTTTATATTCACAACCCAGTAGAGTTACAGTCTTGTCAGAGACTTCTGGTTTATTGTAGGCAGTCCTGGTGGTGGACACGGAGACAAAGAAGATCACCCCCATTCTCTCTAGTGAGTGTCCTTGACTCTGCCTCTATCATTTATATTTACTTCAGATAAATCTTCTTTGAGGAGATTGGTTTATTAAAATTGCAGCATAAACTTGCAACAAATTTGCAACAGATTTTTTTTTAATTTAAGATTGGTAGTAATTGATCACAATTTTCAAGCTTGTGATTTTATTATGAATTATCAGAATGGATAATAGTTAAACTTGAATGTATTTATTTTTAGAACCTCATGGATGTCTGAAAGTCACTGATATATTTCAAGACAGAATGCTTGTAGTTCAGTCCAGCATAAACCAGTTACCGTACTTTGTAAGTGTGCATATTAAAGAGAATGTAGTCTAGCCAAAAAAAAAAAAAAAATCTTGTAAACCATAAAAGTAACACATTTAAGTTTTTCAAAATTCTTTGGAATTGACCCCAAAAAAATCATGATTTCTGAGTGTTCATGATATTGAGGCTGAATCTCAAATTAAAGCAAACTGTAGTTGTGACTGTTAATTCATTTCAATGTAACTTTCAATTGTTATTCTAAAAATAAGCCCTTCATATACTGCAATTGAGCTTATTTTATTGACTAATGCTTAAAACATAGATGTTCAGGTATAGGTGCTTAATACTGTGTGGTGGTGTAAATTGCATTTTTTCCCAGGAGTATCCAGTATAAAGTTTGAGTTCATAGAGGTATCAAATGCGTCTCAAATATGTCATATTATGCTTGAATGTTTATCATGAAATATTAACTGTTAATTGAACTTATATCTGTGTTTAAGCATCAAAGATAATTACAACAATCAGGGGAAATAATGACAGCCACACTGGGACTCGGACTCAGGACCTCCCACTAACTGTATAGTGGCTCAGAGGCTCTACTACTGAGCTACTGGGTCATTGTACTGAATCTCTGTTACAATCTTGGGCCCTTTTTCTTAAGGTTTTCTGCCCTGAAAACTTTACTTAGAATCTTTCTTAACCACTTGTTGTTTTCATTGTTGGCTGTAAAATATACCGTACAAGTAATAGGTAAAAGTGTTGGTCAGATAAGGATTTGACCCTGGAACATCCTGCTATTAACTATCTGGGTGCTCTTTGTTGGAGGTAATGGGTGACAAACCCATTAATCCCCATTAAATAGTAATAATTTTATCCACTCTGGCCTCTATACAGTATCATATTTGACTCTTCTGTTCTTCAGCTCTCCAGATTTGGGTAAATTTCAGATTACAGACTTTTCATTGTTTTCATTAACTCTCCCTCTAAATTCCATCTGTTTACAGAGTATATGCAGACTTCCAGAGAGTGGACAGGAATCTTCAGTCATGTTCCATCCTCTTGACAATCCCGAGCCAGTTTTAGACATTAACTTTGAAATTCTCAAATTCCTGCCAACACATCGACCTCATCCGAAATTTGGTAGGTTTACTGGTTCTGACAATTAAAGTGAAAACCCATTGTCAAATCTGATGGCTTTTGTTTCTGGGTTCATAGATTGTAAATCAAAATGTTTTACTCATACACTGTATGTATGAAGTTCATTCCAAAGAAAGTGACAATTTTTTTTTTCATTTTGCAGGTACACATGAATATGAAGCAATTCTAGTCACACCAAAAACTGACCAAGAAAAACACCCATTAATTGTGTTCCCACATGGTGAGTTCATCTTACATTTGTATCAATTCATTTCAAGATGATAGAATACAATCGTCAAGTGGTCAATCTTCTATTAACACTTCACGTCCATCTAAACCTGTGTACATTCACCAATTTCTGATCTCTTCCCCTCCTCCCCCACCACCTTTCCTGGCTCCCAGACACATTTGAGAGGTACCACTTCCATTATCAGTAACCAGAGGGGTATTTTCTATTACAGGGGGACCTCATTCTGTCTTAACAACAGACTACCTGCTTCTCCCTGCAGTGTTTACACTCTGTGGATTTGCTATGGTTTACAGTAAGTAATTTGGATGTATTTTTGTAATATTTCTGCATTATTCATTTAAATGAGTTGTTAATGTTTTCTTGTTGGTCTTCAGTTAATTACAGAGGTTCTATTGGTTATGGAGATGACAGTCTGCGGTCTTTGCCAGGAAATGTTGGAGACATGGATGTCAAAGATTGTCAGGTATAAGAGTATGTCACAAAGTACCTGTATCTGGTTTTAGATTTATAAAAAGGAAAACAGTGCTACAGTTTACCTGCGATTGTCTCCTTTCCTATTAACCCTTAGAAGAAATCTCAATAATTAAAAAAAAACAACATTTTTTTTTTTATTTCATCATTACCATATGAAGTAGAATCTCACAAAGTCACAAATGTCTTTCAACAAGGGAAAGTTGTTTCTTGAAAATTTTCACAACATTATCATTAGTCCTACCTGCTGAGACACTCTTGATTTGAAGTTTTGTATTCTTTTTGAGTTCATTTGGTGTCTGTGGTTAAGGATTGTAGAGATGTCTTTTAGGAACCCCTATAGAAAACCATCCAAAAGGTTTGAGATTTACAGGATGTGGAGACCAAACTTTTTCTTTTATGTAGGATATATTTACATTTCCAAATATTTTTCCTTAAGATTCTTTGCAAATTAGAAAACAGTTCACGTTCTCATGAACTACTGCATGGATGAGCAAGAATATCTCCATTGTGATTGTACTTGAAGTCAAAACATAGTGCAAACTGCTTTTCTTCAAAAATGATTGTTGATTGACAAAAATTTGTGGTAAGTCATCAGAAAAATAATGTAAATATAACATATGAATTTAATTTTTGAGAATTCATGAGGTACATGAACTACAAAACTTCACGTCTGCATATTTATCATGAAGCAATAACATGCTAATAAACTTGGATTTTCTGTTGACCAAAGTTGCACATTTTGCGAGTTCATTTCAAATTCCAAGTACCGGTAAAAATATGCCTCATTTGGGAATCAAATTTCCTCACTAAATCATCCATCTTGCAAATTCAAGCTGGTTTTGAACATCAGATTCCTTGAGGTGTTGCATTATTAAGAAGTTGTCAACTTCATATCATACTTCAAAGTTCTAATAGTATCTTATTGGGAAAGAATGAAATGTATGGCTAGACTGGGAATTGAACCCAGGACCCCTTCATCACAAGTCAGGTGCTGTACCAACTGGGCTATCCAGGCTGATATCCATGGCCCAAACCATTACATTCCTCCCTCCTTAAATTGTCTTTGCCCTCAAAGACACAACCCAAATTCTTTTTACCTCTGGCAGGACTTTCACCTGCAAGTCCAGGGGTGGTCAGCAGCACCAAATTATGTAATGGGAAAGTATGAAATGTTTCGCTGGATCAGGAATGGAACCTGGGACCCCTACATCACTAGTCAGGTGCTCTACCAGCTATTCAGGCCAGTTTCCATGACCCAAACCATTGCAGTTGCATCTTCACTTAAATTGCCGGTGTTGTTAGCAAAAAAATCTTTCTGACACTTTTCGAAGGAGTTAATCAAACTAAAGTCTCCATTTCATTAATGAAATCATCTTCAGTTCTTGAAGTCCCTGATCTTCTTTGATTGTTATGTCTTTTATCATATATTGTTCCTGTTTTCTCAAACTTTGTAGCTAGTCTACTTACAAGCATATTCCAGAAAGCTTCTTTGCCTTTGAAATATTTTCCTTAAATTGATTTTTGGTGAATTATATTGGCCAGGTAATAGAGCTTTACAAGTTCAGTCTCCTGTTAATAAGCTGTATCCATTTTGAAATATATTCAGATGATGACATCAGCATTTATGCCAAAATTAGCCACAATAATGCCAAGTTTTACTGAAATTTTCCATGGTATTTGATGTTTTAAATGATATATAGTTTATATTATAAATATGTTAGATAACAGAGGTATTAGGATTTACAAATAATGTGACCTATAATTATGGAACACCCTACATGTATACAACTTTAATTTTTTATTTAGGAAGTTGCTGAGAGTGTTGTAAAATTAGATCAAATAGACAGGAACAAAGTGGTTGTTTTTGGTGGATCTCATGGAGGATTTCTAACAACACATCTGATTGGTCAATATCCAGTAAGTGACTTATAAAAACACATCTGATTGAACAATATCCAGTGAGTTGCCAAAACAACATCTTTCAAAAATATATAATTTATTTCAAATATAGGTCACATTTCATACACTTATTAATACCTGTGTTTAATAAATACATACTTTTGATTAGAATTTAATTATCAGAATCCTGTTTGTCTTGGCATGTACAATTTATGAATTAACAATTTCTTCAATTAATAATTATTAATTAATACTGTAAACTAATATGACTTCTCTCATACATATTTTGTGTAGATAGACTTAGTGATCATATTAATTTCAAACATTCTGTGCTTTCTGCAGAGTTTTTACAAGGCAGCATGTTGTAGGAATCCAGTTACAAACATTGCAAGTAAGAAACCTCATTACTCCAGTCTCTATCTGCAAATTAATCAGTTACAGTATGAAATACAATGATCAAATTAAAATTTTAGTACAATGAAGGTCATGTTAACTAAGATAATATCTCTGCATATCTTGAATAATACAACTACCCTGCTATACAATCATACATGTAGTTACATATTGTATTATAGGCACAGCTCAAATGCGTGATTCTTTAAAATTGATATTCTCTCACATTTATTGTTATATTAAAATTATTGCTAACAATGGTATACATAAATAATTACAAAATTCATTATATTGATACAAAGCATATTTTACTATGTGTATATATCTATTTGAATCAATTTTTAAAATGCCATAACTCACCCTTTCCCTTGCACAGGTATGATGCCAACAACTGATATTCCAGACTGGTAGGAACAAAGAATTATCTTTATACACTGACTGTACGATCTAAAAAGGACTCTATTTACATTTATGACATCATTTAACCAGCTTCTAAACATTCTAGCACTCAATAGAAAAATCTGAACAACAAACTAATTTGATAAAATGTTAAAAATAACAGTATATGTTTTAAATGACTTTTTGTTGTTCACAGCATAAAAAAAGAGGATAGCAATTAATCAATTTAAACTATCAGTCCTACATGTTGATACTTCCGTTTTTGTTTATGTAGGTGCTATACCGAGAGTGGATTTGAATTCAAATATGATTCTTTAACAACAGGAGAAAAACTTACTGAAATGTGGAAGAAGTCCCCATTACAGTATGTTGATAAGGTAATTAAAATATTCACATTGCACCATGTTGACTTAAAAAGAATCTCCACTGCAGCATGTTATATGTTTACTTTTTTCTGTATCTAATGTGCATATACTTGTATTTATCTCACGTACCAGTGACCTGGTTTCTGAGGGAATATAGAAAAAAGCATGTTAATGATAAGGAGTAAAAATCTACAGTAGTACTTATTTGCTTACTCACCGTTCTGTTTAAAGGACTTATCGCATATTTCTAAATTATTTGAAGTTAAAAGCGTAAAACGTTCCTTATGACCACAGTTTATAAATTTTATGTTTTTACTGCGAATAAACCGCGGTAATTAACCAATTAATGACTCAAATGAAAACCCCTGAATTAAAAATCTAAGTTAATTAGATAGCGATCACGTGACCCTGTGACGTCAAAGGCGACAATGGCTGACCAGCTCTTCACGTAATCTTACTAAAATATACGCGATACAACCTGAATTTTCTGCGTTATGGACGACCAAATTACTGATTTTATCGATATGAATTTTAATATCCAACCTTATATTTTAGAACTGTCAGCAAGAAATAATCTGAAAAATCCATTAACATTGGAAAAATAGCAGCGACGATAGCGAGGGAGACGCGGCGAAGACGAAGAAACTCGCCATCACAATACAATTTGATTTGTCATTTTATCACATGTATTAACTCATTTGATTGACAAATTTAATATTACATAACTTTGTTATTCTTCGTTTTTAACATAACATTAATTTATGCACGTATGCTTTCATATGTTTTGTAAAGGATGGCGGTTTTGAAAAATAATTTTCCGATCACGAAACATTGCCGTAATCAGACCTACAGATTCTAAATGTTTGGAATAAAAAACGAAAATATCTCAAAATTCTTACACCTTAGAACTAGTTAATGTTTCTATAGTTATTGAAAATCACGTTAGGAATTAATTTTTTCAACATTTTTCATAATGAAGCTGCATTTGTCGTTGATAACTTCGTAAATAGTGTGCAACTTCTCATCTCTCTATCACTGAATTGTCGCCTATGACGTCAGAGCAGTATTTCGCCGAAATCCGACTGAAATATGCATATTGCCGTATTTGAATTTCAGCTCTCAATAGCTCTTAAAATATGCTTTCAACAACGTTTATTGTATTCAGAATTTTAATAAACAAGGTTGTAGATAATATTTTTCATAAAATTAAGATTTTTGAAAAATCATGCGATAAGTCCTTTAAGAAATTATACTTTGCCCCTTTTTAAATTCACCCACCTGTGATTAGGGCAAAAGGGCGAAAAAATAACAGGGGTGAAAATTTCCCTGTATACAGAATGTTGATAAGGTACATGTGTATTCCTTGTTACAAGGCTTTTCCTTGGGTACCAACATTTTTGACTTCTTGACCTTGGAGTTTGACCCACTTTTTAAAATTTTACTTTTGAAAAACTTTAATCTCGGCCATATCTATTGAATGGTTGGTGCTAGGACTTTTATATTTCACAGGAGTGTTGCTTGTGACAAGATCTTTCTTTGGGTACCAACAATTTGATACCTTGACCTTGGAGTTTGATTTGCATTTGAGAAACTTTAACCTTCACCTAGGCTGCCATATGGCGGCATCAGTGTTTCACAAACAAATTTTGTTTTTTGTAACTAAAGAAATTTTATTTCAGAATATTTCACCTCTTATTCAAAAGGTTTTAACCTTCCAAATTGTAACCCATGACAACAACCCATTTTAAACATCAAATGACATTTCTAATTTATAAAAAAGACAATTATTAAATTGTAAACAAAATTATGTAAGCCAATAATAAAATTTTGTGTCTTTTTCAAAAGTTTATTAATAGACAATGATCGTATAGTTTTTAATATAAATCCTGAAATGTTACCATAATAGACCAACACAATTAGTGTATACAATATTTTTTTCCCCCGATAAATCCAAAATTGGCTTAAGTCCAAATTACTCAAGAGCTGGGGACTAGAACAAATAAGAGTAGAAAATTAATGTAAGAGATACAAGCAAGAAGTCCAAATATAGTCAGTCTGCAGAAGTATTACTAAGCACTTGTTTAGCACTGTTACAGTGACTGAGTTAGGTAATGTTCAGTATGCTCTTATGATGGAGTGGTTGGTTACCGAGATTTTTCTTGAAATGGCTTATTTAAAGCTGGCCATAATTTTGGATTAAAGTTTTATGAGAAGTTTTTTCACTGCTGGTACCATAGCCTTCCATTCTTTTGACGACAGATGACCTATCCAGACACAACATGTTTACCATCCAGCCAGGGGGACTTCTTCGTACATATACAGAAATGAATAGAAATGACTGCCATTGGTTGGTGTTGGAACCTGCATTGGCCATGGATAAAATACCTGGTCCTGTGTGCTCCAGCTGAAAGTTGTCATCTTCAATCTTTGAGCCATAGATACTTTTTCCTCCAGTGCCATTGAAGTATGTGAAATCACCTCCCTGGCACATGAAACCAGAAATTATTCTGTGGAAACCACACCCTCTGTAGCGAAAGCCCTTTTCACCTGTTCATAGTGCACAGAAGTTCTCAACGTTTTTGGGACTACATTGGTACAAACTCCCACAGCATCGACTGAGGCTCAGGTTATCTTCTGTGATGTTGAAGAAAACTTTGGGTTTTGACATTTTGTTTCCAAGGTTCTGTGTAAAGTGCTGGCTTCTTAACTTATTTCAGCATAAAGATGTTTTTGCAATCAATCATACTCTAACCAAGTTATTGTTCAGCTCATTTCAAAAGTGCAACTGACGTGGTAGAATTCTCCAGCCAACCGTATGCACATACATAACAAGCATATGAAATTAACATTTTTTACCCAATGCCAAGTGTATTGTTAATGCAGAGGGCAGCATTAAAAATGGGTGAATGCTTCTAAACAAATCAGATTTCGGTATTTAGCATGAAAGTGTAATAATATACTTTGGTATATTGCAGGTGGAAGCTCCCTTGCTGATTATATTGGGGTTAGATGATGCCAGAGTCCCTCCCAAACAGGGAGAGGAGTATTACAAACAACTGAGAGCCAGGGATAAAAAGACCAGGTATTAATAATACAGTAAAACTTGTCTGATCAAACACCTGTGTAATCCCTTTCACTGTGAATTCTGACCTTTATTTTCATTCCATTTTACTACTTTCCATGTTCTGTACACTGTGTAATCAGACACTCTTTCTATTCTGAAAAAAAATTGTCTCCCATGTGAGATTAGACAGGTTTCACTGTATTGTTTGTAACACTTTGTCATGTACCACCAACATGTGTAAAATATATTTTTAGAATACTTTTTGTTTATGTGTTATTCAGCTTTTAAATAATAGTTTTCATTACAATATACTTCATCATGAACATTACCTTACAAATGTTTCTGTATTTGTTGAAAAATTAGTGAGTTGGAAATGTTTATTTACTAGGCAAACATTAAAAGAACTAGAAACTTGTTACCATGGCAACAAGAAGGTCCTCCGTCTTTACAATATATGAGTGATATTGCATGCATTTAGAGATACATATAAGTGGTAGTTATGGGGATACAAAAATACATGTACCACAATTTAAGTTTTTCTACAAACTGTGAAAAATAGAAGAATGAAAAGCGGAAAAAACAAGCCCTCTAACATTAACTGGAAAGATTGGAAATATTCTGAACATCATTTCCATCCATTACAGTCAAAACATTTGAGGATAGACAATGAAATGGGTTGAACAATTTGAAGCAGATGTCAGAAAAACAATTGGATTGAAAATCAAGCAAGAACAAGAAATTTAATTTAATGTTTTCTCAGAAGTCCACGATAAATTTGACACGGACATCTGAGAAAACATTGGATTCAATTAATTGTTTTCTCAGACGTCCTTGATAAATTCGACACGGACAATTAGAAAAAGAATAAATTGAATCCAATATTTTCTTAGATGTCTGTGATAAATTCGTTACGGACGTCTGAGAAAACATTGGATTGGAATGCATTCAGTGTTTCCTCGGACGTCCGCAAAAGTTGTACCTACTAGTCCCCTACTGGTGAAACCGGAGGGGACTATTGATTTCCTCTGAGTCTGTCTGTCCGTCCGTCTGTCTGTCCCTCTGTCTGTCAGTCTGTCCCACTTGGTTTTCTGCACTTTTTTCCTAAATGCTTGCAGATATTGAGCTGATTTTTGGTATGTGAGTGTATCTTGATGAGTTACAGATCAACTTTGCATTTCGTTCCGCTTCAATGATTTTTGACGGAATTACGACCTTTTCAATTTTTCACGGTTTTCCGCAATTTTTTTTCTAAACGCTTGCAGATATTGTGCTGATTTTTGGTATGTGACTTTACCTTGATGAGTTATATCATTTAATGATTATAAAGATAATTAAAAACGTATATTAAAGCTTAAAAAAGTATGAACATTTTTTGCATGCTCTGGGGATTTAACCCAGGTCACCCGCATAATAATCCAACACACTAACCATTATGCCCACAGGGCCACCCCTTAAAAGTGAAAAATAAGGACTATCTAGAAAATGGATTAATCAATTTTTCAAAAATATTATATTCCGATAAGAGTCTGTACTATCCCAACTTAAATCATAAAAAATGTTAAAAAACAAAACAAGTTGAGAAAAAAATTGAAAATTGCTTCTAACGGCGACCGGAACATTGTCAACGCAATGTGATTTATTACATTGTATCATCTTTAATAGGTTTCCAGTTCATATCTTAAGCCGTTATGGAGGAGTCGTGCAGACAAAATTTCATTTTAAAATCAGGAAATTGTCCAACCAATTGGAACCGAGAAGGAATTTTTCCAAAACTCTTGCGAAATCAACAATTTCATGTAATAGCGGATTATCTCTGAATGTTTGAAGAAAAAAAGTAACTGAATAGTTTTTCGAGATATCTTGTGCCCAAAATTTGGTCTAGAAAATAAGAATAATAACTAGATGAGATCTTATTGCGAGCGACTAGTAGGTCTTGATCAGATGAGATGGGATTTTGACATTGATATTGAAATATTCATTAATGAAAAATTATATAAAAAAATTGTTACACTTTCTATTCATACACCATAATTTTTTAAGGAACTGTAGATTAAAGACATTCCGCTGTTTTGGGCTCCTTACTTAAAGGAATCAATCCCCTTTCATGATATTAAATGAAAGCTCTATATTAGAGACCAACCCTTCAAGTCCTTAATGGAACCATTTAGCGAAAGTTGAAAGATTGTATATTGTTAAGAATACATGTATTATTCTGAACATATTCTGTTCAAGAACGCTTATCAAAATATTCCTTCTATAAATGATATAAAGTGTCAAAATTTAGCAATCGATCTGGCCCCTCATGACCATTAATTACGTAACATATGATGCAAATTTCATAATGTATCGTTACAGATTGTTCAGATGAATATTTTTCTTCAGTAATTTTTAACAAAATATTGATCATGAAAGAGTTAAAGATTGAAGTCTCCTGATCCATCTGAGCCCCTAATTTGAGGAGTTAGCCACTTTTCTGATATCATAAGAAAGGCCTTATGATTTTGAAAAAAAGAAAGACTTTTTGTTCAACAACTTACAGAATTTCCTACATGTACTTGTTTTTTAACTTTATAGAACAGAAATATTTATGGGCCTCTGTTTTGAAGGACCAGCCTCTTTTTCTTGATATAAGAAGAAAGCTTTCCTTTTTCAACAACTATTCAGAAATTCTTTTCTGGTTTCAAGATATTCATCGATTGTTTTTCCCTTGCACTCTAAAGTGTTTATGATAATTGAACAATATTTGACGGGCGTATCATACGCTGTGGCAACCCGCATTATTCTTGATATTGAATTAAAGCTGTAATAATTCTGACCACTTTCTTTTCAACAACTAAATAGAAATTCCTGTTTGTTTTTGAGATATATATATGAAAAGAGATATTTAGGGTGCCAACCCTCTGAGTCCTTTATTGGGCCGTTTTGCCAAAAAATTGAAAGATTGCATATCTTAAGAATATTATTCTAAACATTGATTTGTTCAATAATACTTATCAAAATAGGATGAGTTCATCATGCATCGGACACATACCTTGCTTCGGATAACCTTAAGCAATAAACTTGAATCAAACTTGAATGTTTTCTTTTTTGACTTGTATCTGTCCTAAAGCCAAAGATTTAAACTTTTGATGATACGGAATATTTTTATCATGTTATGGTACATGTAAAATACCACGATAATGGCATTGAAGTGACGTCATATTTGACATCATCAAAGGTTAGCAACCAGAATTGTATGATTTTGCAAATTTTCAGAGTTCTGTCCTGGGTGATTTTTTTTAAATGATTGATAATTTTATTGAAATTTCAAGAAATTTCATTTCAAAGTTTTTATTTATTTCTTAGACTTGTTTTTTACTAGTGTGTTCTTTCACCATGCATGGACACAAGTTAACCATGTTTTGGACGTTGTCCGTTGTATGGATAATTACTTCCTTTTTAAAAATAACATAATTAATACCAAATTGACAGCTATAGAAATAATAAGATAAGTTCAACATATTCAGTTAAAATTCAAGTTGTCAATATATGACAATTAGAAGTGAGCTCTCTTTATTTCTTCACACTAGATCTATGATGACCCCATAGACCAAGGAGCAAGTTGCTATACGAGGCGTTGCATTACAAGGCATACTAGTATCCTAGGCGATGTGATGCAACTAAAATCTCTCCACATTTTTACATCGATATAGCCAATCAAATTAAAGAGCGGATTTTTAAATGAAGCATAGAAATATCTTCTTTTCACTAATTTAAAAGCATTTCAAGTATTTAAAAGGCCACCGCGATAAAGGTTGGACGTTTTTCGGTTCAATATATGATGCATGGTGAATATAGTCAGATCCATGGACTGTATGGGGCGTTTTGAGAAAACTGAAGATTTGCGTATTGTTCAGATCATTATTCTAAACATCTTTTGTTTAATTTTTGTTATCAAAATATTTCCCTTTTTGCGAGATATATAGCGTTAAAGATTTAGCATTCTGGCCTTTGTGCTCCCTAATTACGTTGAATATGACCAAAATTTTATAATATATCGTCGCAGATTGTTATAAGATAAACATTTTTGCTATGTACAGTAGTTTATAAAAAATATTGATCGTTAGAGAGTTATGAATTAAAGTCTTTTGGCCCGAGAACTCGCGTGCACAAAATAGGTTTGTTTGTTGTTTAACGCCAAATCTCGAGAATTTTTCACTCATATGGAGACGCCAGCACTTGCCGGTGGAGGGCTGCAAATTTAGACCTATGCTCGGCACTTAGGGCCATTAAGCAGTGAGGGATCTTTTTCGTGCCAGCACCTACTGCGACACGGGACCTCGGTTTATACGGTCTCATCCGAAGGACCGGTCTTCACATCCCACAGTGGGATTCGAACCCGCCATGTAAGGATTAACTTCTAACACCGCAACTCTAGAGCAAACGTAAGGATCTACTCCTTACACTGCGACTCTAGAGCAAACGCTATAACCACTGCGCCAAGTGGGCGACCACAAAATAGGTAAAAATAATACTAATAACTATATGCGTTTCTTTTTGCTAGGGAAAAGTGGTCTTCCGACGACTTTTCTCCATAAATGCTTCATCACCTCGTTAAATAAAGTTCGAACCTCACAGTGCGAGAAAGTTTGGACTGGTCATTTCATATATCATTATTCAGTTCAGTACATCTACGTATGATGTTCTGTCATGTCAATGAGTCAATTTTATAACTTTAGCCGTTCTCTAGAAAATGCGCGGACAAAATGCCATTAAAAACAAATATGTCCAAAATCGTGAACGGAAGTGAATATTGAAAAAGTGAGGAACACCCCTTGAGATATTATCGTAAACATTTTCCCTGAAAAAATCTTTGAAATTGAACCACTCACCGCTGATATATCGCCTGTACTAGGAAAAAGAAAAATGACAGAAAACAGAAGGAAAACGAAAAGACCTTCAGAAGATCTTAATAACAATAATAGGGAAAAAGAAACCGAACGAAAATAAGAAAGTCATCCGTCGGAGATGGAAGATCTTAATAATAGGGGGAAAAAATAAGGTCCTCCGTTGAAGATGAAAGACGTTAATTATAAGAAACAGCAGAATCACTTTAAGGTTTTCCATGAAGACGGAAGACTTTAATAATGATAAGAAACAGTAGAATCCTTACGTATGTACAAATGAGAGAATTCTGCCTGCTCACATTAAGAAAAGAGAAAAAATTCCATATACTTTTGTCACAGCCTTATAATGTGGTAAAATACAACACAACACGGCTGCTGGGTTCGATGTTTATATATAATATATATTCTACGATTATGGAATTTTATAACATAGAAGGAAGGGTGACCTGAAATATAACAACAGGTATTAAATATCTCTCGTCTCACTCACACTTTTACGCGGATCATAATTTAAATTTTATAAATTTGGAAAATTTAGAAAATACTCGATTTGAATAAAATGATCAAAGAGATATTGAATAATAATTAAATCCTTAGAAATAATTTACCAATTATTTCTTACCGTAATTCCTAGACGAAGTTCACCATTATCATGAGATAAAGTGTTGGGGAGAGAGAGCGTCTTCTCTCCCCAAAGTCTAAGGTTGGAGTGCTAGAGAATTAGTATTGGCGCGAATGCGCAGGGGACAGAGTAAAACCAGTTTGATCACACACACCCGACCGTACTCTCATTGACCACTCACCCGTATAAATGAATGAATGAATGAATAAGGCAATGAATGAACATAGTAAATTCCGTAGTGAGAACGGAATTCACTAGTTACTATAATAATATAATGCCTTAGACAAATGTATGAATATGATATGAATGATAATCAAAAATATTAATCAATTAATTATAATTCACCCTGTGACACTTTTAAAGTAAAAAACGTTCTGATTTGTCAAAATCTATCTTCTTGTAGGCTGATTGGATACAAAGACAATTGTCATCCTATTGAGACAGTGGAGGCTGCAGCAGATTCGTGTATGAATATCCTTGATTGGTTCTGGCAACACTTGGATTAAGTCTGCTGCTGGCAACACTTGGATTAAGTCTGCTGCTGGCAACACTTGGATTGAGTCTGATACCTGCAGATATTTCAAATACTAGGACAATTGCACTCTTGCTAATAGACTTCAGTCACATATAATGTACTAGTAACGAATTGATTCAATGTTATCTTGAAGATTTATGTTGCCAGTAAAATTTCATATTACACATAAATAATTTATTTTATATGCTATTGTGGAGATATGGACGTCCATGTTAGTGAAATACTGTATACAGGGTTATTTTCGCCCCGTGTTATTTTCGCCCTTTCACACTTGCAAGCAATTTTGCCCCGTTTTAAATTCGCCCAGTCATAGTTCTGTTTAAGAAATTTTACTGTGTTCTTTGATTTCTCCCCGTTTTAAATTCGCCCACCTGTGAGTAGGGCGAAAGGGGCGAAAATTTCCCTGTATACAGAATTTCTTTAATGATGCTTATTCTCAAATCACTCTAATCTTTCAAGAATTGTTCAAAGGTTTCTGTCTGGTAAGTAATTGTCTTTAATATTGATTGTACATGGTGATCATACAGTGTTGTATAATCAGAGGTGTTCATGACCCACTCTTAAAATATATTTGGAATTGGCTCACATTTTTTTAAAAAATTTATATGTGAAATCCAAAAATATATATATATATATATAAACAAATGAAATAATAAAATAATCATATTTTTCTTCGAAAGGTTCAGGACAGATTTCTGTAATACTGGTATTTCATGTACATGTATTGTGTTCATCCGTTTGTAAGTTACAATTGGGGGTAGCAATACAAGCTTGTATTCGAGTTTGACCACATTTTCAATGAACACATCAACGGCATTGTGACCTAGGCATGTCATATGATTCTCTGTGGTCTCTGGTGAAATTCCTACAACTTTATAAGTAAAACCGGAGGGTACATGCTGATCTAGTTTAATGGTGGACGATTTGCTAGGATCAGGTGGACAGCCGTAATGCCTCTCAAGAATGCTTTCAAAGTCTGCATAAACGACAAACGGAACTTTGAGTTGCTTGGAGACATCAGTAAACCTGAGCCACTTATCTTCCTCTGTTGGCATTTCCGTTCGTTTAGCACCATGTACTTGACAGTAGGACACGTGCTTTTTAAGGAGACGCTCCTTAATAAACCCCTGTAGACAGTAGTGAGTATTTAGTAGCCATTTAGTAGTATGTCAAAATCTTTCATCAAACAGTAATGAGTGTTTTTCCACTTTGTTGAGGACAACGAGATCTACGTGACGTAAACCTCTCTCTTTGGTAAAATGAAGAGGATAGATTTGTCATTTTTCATAGCGAAACACATTCATCTGATGGCGATATGGTTTTTCTTTTCAAACTTTGGAATGTCTCCAATTGGTACAGGTAACAGGGTGTCTGTAAAGTCGAGTTTGGTCCACGTGTTGAAAATAGTCGATGACACGCTGGGAATTCTTTGTAACCGAGTAGAGGGAGTCTAACACTGAACACATAAGGCATTTTTGATCAGAATTCTGAACACATGATGGCTTTCTTGTTAGCTAGATTTGGTGGCACGGTAGGTAAATTGGACCTTTTATCGGAATATATTGGACGATATGGATGTTGACCCCAAGAACTTTGTCCCATTCCCAGTTACTGCCTTCTTTTTGATATTCAACAAAAGAGTTAACAATTTTCTTGGTTCTTTACCTCAGTGCAGGCTCAATGTTTTCGTTTTTAGCTGACCTCAACGAGGTTGGGGGAGCCTATGTAATACCCTCGGTGTCTAGGGATGCACACTATTAGATGATTAGTTAAGTGTGGGACTTTGCCTTACTGAAAGACAACATTCGTTGTATAATAAGAATGTCTAAAAATGGCAATTTGTTTTCGTTGATTTCCATTGTAAAATTCAAACTTTCATTAAGCCGATTTAAATTGTTGCTAAAATGTTGTAGATCTTGTAGAGATTTCATCCAAAAAATAAAACAGTCATCTAAATAACATTTCCAGTTTCTTTCAATGTACCGGTATAGACCAAATTCTTCTCCAAAAAATGTCTTGCATTCAGAAAAAAGTTTTTCCTCCAGAAAGCCTAGAACTAGGGTTGCGTAAGTAGGAGCGCCTTTTGTCCCCATTGCTGTCCCTTTTGTTTGTAGAAAAAACTTGTCATCAAAAAGGAAATGATTCTTTTGTAAAGCTATTTTAATCCTTCAAGGATAAATTCCTTAGAAAATCTCGGTTGGATTACATCTGGATGCTTTCAATCCAAAAGGAAATGGCTTCTATCCCTAAGTTGTGAGGAATGTTTGTATATAAACTAGTGACATCAAAGCTCACTAACTTCGTATTTTCTTCAACATTTTCTGAATATGGTTGAAAAAATCCATGTCGTCCCGAATAAAACTGGGTACTAATTTGCAGATAGGTTTAAGTAGAATATCTAGGAAATTACTTAGCCTTTGCGTTGGACAAGAAGGGCCAGCTACAATAGGGCCCAGTTTTAAGTCTATTGGACGTGGTCATTTAATATAAGGTTCACTCATTTCCTGTATTCCGTTTTGAATTTGTTTAGACGTGAATATTCGGTAATCCGTAAAAGTTTTTACCTCAAAATTAAGAAGAAAATCTGCCTCTTTTGCGGTTAAATTGTTGGCATATTTTGAAGTATACATCTTTATTGTAGACATCGTTTTCTTTTCTTTTTATTTTTAATGCTGTTCTCTCAATTTTTGAGATGTTATCTCGCACACGGATATCACTATGGTTGTTGTATGCAGATTTTTTCAAACAATTAAAATAGTCGTCCAGGTGTTTGTCCCTGTTTGGTTTCGGTTTAAAATTACTTTTGTTTCTGACTAAGGATTCTTTATTGTAATCAGAATTCTGAATAAATTCCCTGAGTCTGAGTTTCCGACAAAATTCCTCTGTGTCTTTGATCACATCTACGTCGTCTTTTTTAGGAGTAAATTTTAGACCCCTATTGAGTAGTTCTATTTCATCCACAGAAAAATCCCTTTGAGATAAATTTATAATTTTGGGGTCGACTTTTGATCTTTTCTCTAAAGATGTTGGAAGCGGAAAGTTTTCATGCGGTGTTTCCGAAAATGGCCCAACCACAAAAAAGAATTTCTTCCTGCATGCTGGTGGTTTGTATTTCTGTTATTAGAAACGTTGTTGTTTATTTTGTTTGGGCCAATGGGAGTTACTATACAAAATTTCATTGCGAAAGCTCAAAGGTTCTCTAGATATCTCGCAGAAACGAAAGTGTTACAAACAGACAAAAATACAGACGGCCGGACAGACAAACCCAAATTAATATCCCCCACTTTCAGTGAAAGTGGGGGACAAAAAAAAAGATGGGATGGAATTATTTTTGTCTATGTATTTTAATATGATGATTCTCTTAATGTAAAATCGAATTAGCTATCAATTAAAATGTCAAAAGAGTTTACGGTGAATTTACAACATTGTTGATTTTTTGTTGAATGACTAAGTTTGGGTACGTGTGAAGTGTATTCATTTGTTCGTCGGACGTGTCAAAGCAATGATAAGAGTTGTGGAGCATTTAAATGCCCTATAAAGTCCTATTTAGTAGCGCATGTTTAGTGAGATAAATTCACACTAACAAAAGAGTTTACAGTTAGTCACCCTGAGGTTAACACTTGCTAGTCTATGAACGACTCTAAAGTCTTATATTGTATACACACTTGCTGTTGTTTAACATTGACTTAATATTTGCATAATATAAAGCAAAAAAAAAGATCGTTATATCTACATTCATCAAAGGGACATAATTTGAGTTATCGAACTTTATAACAAAAGTTACAGTATGCAAATTTCACAAATTACAACCAACCACAAGCAGCAATTGTATAAAGGAGACGTCTTTGGAGGGTGGATGGTGGCGGATGTTTAATTCCATGTACAAGTAGATACTACTGCTTGTTTATTGTACTTAACTGCAAAGGTGAAAATGCAATACAATACAACGCCTGGCAAGTTGGCTAATCAAAATAAACTTGGTCTATTTTTGATTGAAAACATGGTTCAAATTCCCACTATTTTCAAATTAGTGATTTATAAAAAAAAAAAAGTTTTACATGATTTACAAAACGAAATTCATAGAACATTTGTTGAACATATCCTCTGAAATGATTATCCGCTAAACATGATTTTTATCAAGAATGTATCAAAAATCTCAAGGTTTTTCTAAATATAGAGAACAATAAATATAAAGATTCTTTTGGTAGCATGACTACAAAACAACTGTATACTATTCTGTTAGAAGAAATTATAATTTTTCCAAAATCTATGCATATTTGACAAAACCTATTCATTCTAAGTTAAAGAGGTATATTACTAGAATAAGGCTTTCTTCCCATAGCTTAAGTATAGAAACAGGAAGATATCAGAAAATAGAAAGAAGTAATAGAATATGTCAATTTTGTAATGATCACCGTATCGAAGATGAATATCATTTTTTGCTTGAATGTCCTGTTTATGATTCTTTAAGAAGAAAATATATCAAACCATATTATTTCAGATCTCCAAATATGTACAAGCTTACTCAGTTACTCAGCTCTCATGATGTTGGTGTTTTAGTTGGATTAGGGAAATTTATTTTTCATGCATTGATATTAAGAAATGATGAATAATTTAATTTATATGTATATTATGTATAGATATTTTTCATGTATAATGGAGAATCTAATGCTTACTGTAATTGTTGGTGTTGAGGAGTCGGACAGATGGACACTAGGGGTTCCACCCCCCGTAGACTCTCGCTATGCGTGTATAATTATGTTAATTTTGTGTAACTGATGGGCCGTATGGCTTAAAGCTGTTTAATAAAGAATTAAAGTAATATTAGAAGAAATTATTACTACACCAAGAGTTGTTAGCATTTTTCGAAGCATAAATTTCAAACAAGTTTTTCATTGTTTGTATAATCATTTCATAGACAAAAATATTCGAGATATTATGTATAGAATTATCCACGATATATTACCTGTATCTTATTACATGCATCATATTGGTTTTTATAAAAAAAAAAAAATAACAAATGTACTTAATGTCAAACTCATATTGAAACTATATGTCATTTATTTCATGAATGTAGCTTTGTTAAACCTTTAGTCCATCTAGTCAAGAACTGGTTAAATGTGATTTCTCATGATCAATTTTTACAATTTAATAAGTCACATATACGTTTTCATACTTTTCCGTTTACCATATTTAGCAAGGAAGATGAATCTCTGTGTCTATATTTAATTTCTTTAATGTGCCTTGTTATTTGGCAAGTTAGATGTACTATTAAATTTGAAAAGAAAAATATAAACTCAAATGAAATGATCTTAATGTATATCAGCAGGTTAATTCAAAGAATTCTATGTGACTTTCATAGATTTGATGAAACAAAATTTAATAAATTCTGGGCTTCTACTCACCTTTTCTGTTCTGTAGATAACGGTCAGCTTGACCTTCATGTCAATGCGTAAATTCTTTTCTTTTGTCACTCATTCTGTGTACTTGCTTGTAGTAAAACCGGTTTTTGTCCATTCATACTATTTCTACGTCTGCAGAGCTATCAGTACATTGTCTGTTTACATGGGTCATTACATGAGTACATAATATGTTGCGATGCTTTTATCAGATTTTTAACTTTTATCATACTTTGTTACAAAGTAATATTTTTGTGTTTCTATTTGTTATAACATTCACATAATT